GGTTGGAATGTATTTTGTTGGCAGAAAATCTCAACTTGTCAATGATGGGAATTCCTCAAAACATCGGCATGGCTCTCCTTTCTCCCTTATTGTTTACCTATTTTGTTGTTTGTTTCGAATTTTATTTTTAAAATTTATTAAAATAACTCAAGCAGCCAATCAACTTTAAGTCTTTAAGACTTTCATCTATCTTCTCTTTCTCATTAACTCCTTTGATTATCTCTCTTCATTAATCATTTAATTAACTCTCTCTCCTCCAATACCTCAATCCACTAATTCTCTCATCTCAATTACTCCATTAGATTGCTCTTTTTCATTATTTTATTTTCTCTCCTGTCTCATTAATCTAATGAGCCAAAAGGCTCATTTTAGTCAACCCAGGCTTCGGCCCCATCAGGCACACAAATGAATATATATATATATATATATATATATATATAAATGTATAATAATTGCACATAATTATAACTTGATATAATTATACATAATAGCTATATGTATACATAGTAATACTACATATATACAGAAAATAATAATTTTTTATTAGACTCGGATTTTAATTGGATTGGATGGGGTTAAATCTGCATCTGATCTGATTATTAATCGGATGCAAGTTCTAACATCCAAATTGGACTTTCGCAGTCCAATGGCAGTCCTAGCGGGGATATGGCCCAAGCTAAGCAACCCCTAAGCTTGACCTGAAAGGAATTTGCTATTATGGTAGATATTGTTATATAATATTTAGATTAAAAAATTTTATATTAATATATAGATAAAAATTTAAATATATTTTATAATAGACATTAAATAAAAATTTAATTTGTAAAAAATCATAGTTTTATAGTTAACACAGGCAAGTCTTTCCATGTCTTAGGCCCAAAAATGTGCTATTACGCTTGAGGTATGGGTCGGGCTAGGCTTGGCAACTTAAAAACTGTTAATACTTTATCAAAATCTGTCCCGGGATCTTTTATTTTTTGGTTTTTGGGCTACACAGTGGTGGTAGCCCATCCCCTATAGCTAAGCAACCAACCCCTAAGCTCGACTTGGAAGTTATATGCATATTTGGCAAATATTGTTATATAATATTTAGATAAAAAAATTTATATTGATATATAAATAAAATAATAGATAAATTAAATAAAAAATTTAATTTGTAAACAATCATAGTTTTATAATTAACATGGGCAAGTTTGTCCATGTCCGAGGGCTAGAAGAATAATTACGCTTGAGGTGTGGGTCAGGCTAGGCTAGGCAACTTAAAAACTGTTAATACTATATCAAAATCTGGCCTGAGATCTTTTATTTGTTTTTTTGGTTTTTGGGCTACAATTTTATCTAAAACTAGTAAAAAGCCCAAAAGTTTTGCATGCATGAGTTGTACAGCGAATCAGTCCCATTATGAATTTTAAATTGCTCTTAGGGGTGCAATTTGGGTGGGTTGGGTTAGGATGAGGATCAACCCAAGCCCAACCTGAAGTCTTAAACGTCAAGCTAGAGCTTATATTAATTTAATTATGATTAAAAAGGTTTATTTATAGATGACTACAACCTAAATTTATATATTTACTAATATCTAATTATTTTAAATGTTCAAATAATATTTACAAAAGTTGTAACATTTAAATAAAATAGAACACTAATGGTTAATATGGAAATAATAATTATCTTTATTAAGTAAATAGCAGTAATTTATTATTTTTGTAACAACTTATTAAAATAAAGATTAATTATTTTAAACAACATCGCATTCCTTAGTTATTAGTTTCAGTTGTTTCACTTTCCCTTGACACATCCCGTGCATCCAACAGACCCCTGCTAGTATTTTAATAAAGGTTATCAACAAATTTTCAGGTAAATATAGGCTTCATTAGGGATCTTACTCATAATTTGTGTGTTATCTAACTGATGCAGGTTATAGTTTGTGAGGAGAGGTTCGAGGGTATATCTGGATTGTCATTTGTTATTGTTCTGGCAAGGCTTGCTCTAAAGTTCAACTCAGATGCCATTTATTCTTTATACTCGGGTAAAATCTCAAAACTGTTCATCAAGGCGATCCCAATGAAAAGCAACTTAAATTCAAGTTTCTTCTGCCTCTTTGCTGATGGATTTCCATGACATATTCTTTTCTGTCATTTTTGTTTTCAATTATTGTAGGAGATGCAAAATATTCAGAAAGTTTAAAGACCTACTTATTGTCAAGGGATCATTATAACCTGAAGTCAGAATTTCAACTTGGAAATGGAAAGGTATACTTTATGGCTGGRCATGAAATCTGAATTATCTCCCTTGAATATTGTTTGTAAACGATACTTGATGGTTTATACTTATTAACAATAAGAATCTATTCCAGATACACGTCAACTGTATTGAGAATCAGCCAGCAGTGGATGTGGTGTTAGGTAAGCATGTGTTCTTAAGCATTGGCGATTACTATCTCAGAAGAACTGAATGAAGAAAGTAAATTTTTTTTATTATTACTCAGAAAGAAACGCAAATGATAAATGAATGTCAAATAATAGTTTCACTTAGCCCATTTTTTTTGTATGTTTATTTTCCAAGGAAACAATTGTAGTCGTTTTGTATGTACTAGTTGAGT